GTATATAATGTTTCTGGTCTAAACATCGCTACTGAGTCCATTTGGATTCATAGTGGTTATATATAGGATTCCAGAAGGCATACATCTTTATGACAACAGAGAGCCCCATCTTTCTTTCAAGGATGCTGGGTTTGAACCACGTACCTTGTAGTTAGCACCCCTTAAAGCTTACTTGAAAGAACCACAAGGAAAATATTCTGCTTTCCCTCATTTAACAAAGCAGTACGTCCCAGGGACTGCCAAATGTTCAATTCTTCTGTCTTCTTCATCTAAATAAAGCTATCTTCTTTCTAAAAGCAATCCCAACCATGGTCATTCTGTATGACTGTTCTTTATTAAAACACGGTGCTGAAGTCATAAAATGATCCTACTTTCAAATTATAAATAAAGTCAAGTGGTATAATAATCTGAAGCTTGAGGGTCATTTTACATTGCATCTAACTATGGACACAGAGATGTTTAAAAACAGAAATTTCATCATAACCAAGTAAATTTGACTAAATAATGTTAGAATTCCTTTTATCTCCTTTTGAATGAAGTTTTTAAAAATTTGAGTGAAAATTGTATACTGCTTAAGGAGATTTTCATATTTCTAGAAGGGTACACCCAAAGTGTTTAGTATGAAATTGATGAAACATGTAATTAAGATGTATTGAAAATTACTTAGATTGGAATGCAAAAGTTGGAAACAGAGAAGATCAAAGAGTAGTTGGAAAGGTTGGTCTTGGTGAGAGAAACGAAGCTGGACATCCCATGATAGAATTTTGCAAGACCAACAACTGACTCATTTCAAAAACATTTTTTTCAACACCACAAATGGTAACTACATACATGGAGTTCTACAGATGGAATACATGGAAATCAAATCGACTACATCTGTGTGAAGAGACGATGGAGAAACAATATCAGCAGCTAACACCAGGCCAGGGGCCCACCATGGAACAAACCATCAATTTTTCATGGGTAAAGTCATGTTGAAACTCAAGAAAATTAAAACAAGTCCACAAACACTGAAATATGACCATGAGTATATCCCACTTGAATTTTAAGAACATTTCAAGAACAAATTTGACTCATTGATCACAGATGATCTGATAAGCTATGGGATGACATCTAGAATATCATTCATGAAGAAAGTAAAAACAAGTAGCCATACAAGTGAGGTATCAGCTAAGTCCACCTGGAAGAAGCACAACAGCCTGTGTGATCCAAGGCTGTAAATAATAAAGCCCAAATCTGAAAGAGGGAATGGTATCAGAACTTAAATTGTGAACATCCGGTTTGCAGTAGGCTATAGTTGACAGTGGAGTCCCAAAATCCATTTGCAGGGTCCACAATAGAATAAGCTACCGGTGAATCCTCTCTGAAGACAGACCAGGAATGTGATTAGCCTGGCTGTCAGACAGAGAGAATTATAAAACCTATTATGGCAGATCTAGTTAGGTTAACATGTAATACTCTACCATTTGATCTCCCATTTGACCCATTCTAAAGTTTTCCAGTTTCTAGTATTTTCTGCTTTCATTTTCATTGAGGTTTTTCTAGGTTTTGTCTAGTCATTATTGTTGGTTTTGTTTGTTTGCTTCCTATATGTATTTTGTATGATTTTCTAAGGAAAAAAATCCAAGCCTTGAGTTGCAGTATTGAAAGATTCTTTGAGCAAGATATTGAGTACAGGAAGCATCACAAGAAGATGGAAAGAATACACAGTTACTGTACCCAAAAGAACTAATCGACATTTAACCATTTCAAAAAGTACCATGTGAGTGAAAATCAATAGTACTGAAGGAAGAAATTCAAGCTGCCCTGAAAGATTTGGCCAAAAATAATGCTCCAGGAACTGCTGGAATACCAATTGAAATGTTTCATCAAGCTGATAAAGCACTAGAAGCACTCACTTGCCTATGTCAAGAAATTTGGAAGACAGCTTGGCCAAGTGACTGAAAGAGTACCTTATTTGTATCTATTCCAGAGAAAGGTGAATTAACAGAATGCACACATTATAAAACAATATCAATGGTACAACATGCCAACAAAATTTTATCGAAGATCATCCAACAACAGTTGTAGCAGTACATTGACAAGGAGCTGCCAGAGGTTCAGGTCAGATTTAGAGGAGGCTGTAGAACAAGGGATATCTTTGCTGATGTCAGATGGATCTTGGCTTAAAGCAGAGACTATCAGAATAATCTGAACTCATCCTCATGTTAAAGTAATCAACCCTTTAAAACGGCCGACACAAGGACAAAGTCCAGTGGGTTAGGAATGGACGCAGCATGGGAACAGGAAAACATGCAGAAAGCACGATAAAATGAGGGTACATTATGGGGTGCAATGGATGAGTTGAAACAAAATGTGTGTGTATTGTTGAATGTAAAACTGATGATCTTGTCTGTAAACCTCCACATACTTCACAATAAGAACTTAAAGAAGGGAAAAGAAGTTGAGGAGAAGGGGTCCGTCAGCAGGTCTGTGCTGTGTAAAGACTGTTATCACAGTCAGCTGGTGATGGTTATATGTTGCAGTCATCATCTTTCCTGTCTGACCTCGGTAGAGAGGATTAGAATAATAGATTTCTTTATCGATTACTTAGTGAATCCAGGTGCTATCTTAATCATGTTAACAGTAATCCTCAACTAATTTTGTTAGAGAAATAGAGTGATCGTCATTTTACAGATTAAAAAAAAAACCCAAGACAAAGAAATTTACTAATTTTGACAAGGATTACACAACTGGTAATTGACTAGTAATCGTATATGACATATTTTCCTACAAATTAAAAACAATAGATGGTTCATTTTCCATTTAAAAAATAAATTCATTGAAGTAGGACTTAACATACAATAAAATTATTCCATTTTACATGTGTAAATCATGAGTTTTGACAAGTATCAGCACTTGTCCAACCCGTTATTTTTTTTAATCGCCTCATATGCATGTGAAAGATGGTGATTGAATAAAGAAGTCCGAGTAAGAATCTCTGTGTCTGAATTATGATACTGGTAAAGAATACTCAAAGCATCATGGACTGCCAGCAATCCATGAACAGGCATCCTTTGGTGATTTGGAAC